CAAATAAAAAAAGACAAAATCACTTTGAAAAGTGGCATATCTTTAGAGGGTGGAAGCATGGGTGTAAGGTTTGTGACAAATGCAATCATCATTCACACCTATATTGCAAAACATGCAAAAAAGTAGCAGATGGAATATATTTAGCGATGTGAATGTGATAAAAAATTTATTGTTATGTATCTGGTAGATAATTTTTTCCAATCTAATGTGTTAAAATAAATTCTGCAAAATTTATCTGTATCACCTTGCAAGGCTTATCGTTATACATAACTTATTTGTGAGACAGGCACAATCTCAGAGTGCCATTTTTTCATTTTTCTGGAATTAGTCCCTAACCAAAGTCGGTCAATTAATTCATGCCACATATCGATATGCTCTGACTTTATTTTGTGGGGAGCCAACTCCGGACTGAAACCATATCTGGCCTAAATGCGTACAATGTATGCATGTACTACGGAATATCAAGTCCTTTATACCGATTTTAGCCTTACATGCTCTATAACTCGTGATGCATACACTTACATAATTTATAGAATTCTTTAGCATAGCGGGCTTTAAATCTGATTGGATAATTGCCCAAAATGTTTCACAATATGTTTTACATATTAGCGTAATGTTTCTCAGTCACAAAAATGGAACTGCAGCCACGAGCACAAAACCGCAGGGGTTGTAGTATAGAAATTTAGAAACTACAACATACCAAAGTAATTTGGTAATTAACGAAGTAATTCGGAAGTTAGATGAGAGGTATGTCTAGATGTTTCAATTTAGCCAATATAGCTTACAGTATATTAAACTTGGTAAAATGATAGCAATTTCAAAAGGTTTACAATGCTAATCTATTTATTAATAACTTACTTATTATTCTAAAGACAGACACGTACTGCCAATAAAATAGAATACAGTAGTAACATTTGAGAACAGAGAAGTAAGTTACTTTTTTTTTATATTAATTTACAAATAACAAACTAAACCGCATTTACTAATTTTTTTTTTAAAAAAAACTTTTTCTGAGTATAGGTATTCGATCATTTTTATATGTTATATTAAATATAGAATAGGTATAGAGCATATACGATTATACGCTATGTTTTTTAGGTTTTTTATATTTTTGTAGTTAGTTTAGTTTTTTTATACTGTTTATATCCTCTATAAGCATATATTCTACCTATTAATAGTTTATTATTATTATTTGGTAAATTATTAAACTATGTACCTGATTTAATTTAGTTAATAAAGATTATCTACGTATGTAATTATTGGGATCCAAGCATTAAATATTATCATTATTTGTTATTAAAATTTATAATTTAATTGTGTCTTTCGTTAAATTTTTTGAACTTGTTTTCTATTGGCCAATCATATCTTGTAAAATCACAGAATGATCTACAAAAATTAGCCAATCGTAATGAAAGCCCGCTATGCTGAATTCTTTGTATTATCGATAGAAATTTCTCTGCGTGGAAATACATGTTTAAACTTCTATCGTAGAAATTTTTTGATGTAAGAGCGCATGTTTTTGCTTCTATCTAACCTTTCTAACATTTGAGTTTCAGAGAAGAGGTGAAAGAAAAACATATAAAAGGGCAGTATTGTTACTTGTCGCTTTATAGTGATTTCACTTGTTACATTACATTAACGCTTTAACCATGTCAAATGAATTATATGAAACGCTATGTGAATTTCTTGTTAGTTCTCCTTTAAAACAAATTTCCGTTGTACCAGTGGTATATAAAGCAATAGCAAAAGATCCATGGGCTTCTCAAGAAATATTAAAAGACTCAATCAAACAAGCCATCGAAACCACTGTGAAAAAATTTTCAAATAACTCGCAACGGTATAAAAGACTTATTAAAATTCCTCAACAGGTTGGTGTTTTTTGTATAGAAAGATGCTTAATGATATGGAATGATGAAGGTGCAGAGTTGGTAATAAGAATATAGTATAATCATCCCATTAGCCTGCTAGTAAGGTGGAGATTCCTCCTGTGGAGTTTCCCCTGGACGCGTGGGGGTGATGAAAACTGTATTCTTATATGATCATTGTAACGAACAAAGATGCTATTGGAGTGGTGGCCACACAAAAATAGTACCTTTGCAATTCTGACAGCGTATATACTATTTATTTACAAGTTTATCGATAAACAAATTTTAACCCAAATATGTTTGCGCCCAGTTCGGTATTGCTTATGAAGGTGTGCGCAGTTTATGCGATATGGGTGTAATAAAAACAAAAAAAGAAAAGGAACTCAGTCCAGAACAAATTATGAACAACATATCAGAATTGAAATCAAATCTTTCAAACTCTCCTTCATTACTTCATAAAGAATTATATAAAAACCTAAAGAAAGTGTCTTACCATGATCTAAAATGGAAGGATTATCTTGCTAACAAAATAATTAGCGATGATTCTGAAGCCGTAAAAAATTTAACTGATAATTATGAAACATTTATGGTGAGTATTATGTTAAATTTTGGTCGGTTTTTTATAGAAATGTTAACCCAAACTGGTATTCTTAGGAACCTAAGCATCAAATACTCCCTCCCACATTGTCTTTTATTCAAGGAATGTGTGATAGATTTGTGTCGAGGTTTACTGAACTTCAGGAATATTATCCGGCAATATTAATGCATGATAAGACTTGGAAAGAATCAGATGATATTCTTTCAGGAATTGCAGAAGAAGTTCTTAAAGTCTTGTAAGTAATCAAAAGAGATTAATTTTTTTCAAATATTTTTTAATGATTTGTTTTTTAGAGATGAATCTTTGAAGAATCCAGCCTTTTCCTCCGAACTTAGGTTATCACAAAATGAAGGGACATATGTAACGCATGTAATAGCGCCTTCAATTCGAGCTGTATTAAAAAATCTTCTCTTCGAAAAAACTTCATATATTAGTATGGTGGAGAAGCAGAGTGTTGCTAGTGCGCAAAGAAAGGGAGAAGGCCATTTGGGGAAAAAACCGGATATGATGTTTATTTTAAACCAAGAAGAGGTTTTATATGAACTCGTATATGCTGAATTCTCACGTTTAGTATGTGCCAAGCAAAAGAAAGAAAAGGATGATTGGCGAGAAACCAATGATGGAATGGATTGGGTTCGCAATAAATATAAACCGGCCAAAGGTAAGTTTGGAATTATTGGAATTCAGGTGGCCGGTAATGTTTTGAAACTTAACGTGCTCGTCA